ACCATACCATGCCATGTCTGCACCCTTTCACCGAACAGGAAAACGGCGGTACATGCTCATTAAGTGGACCTGCTCACAATGCGGAACTTCGAATCGTGGAGTTTGTTGTATCCTCGGAAAGAGCTACAGTCCTGCTTGCTACGGGCGCGGGGCGTGTCAGGGGGACTAGGACTGACGTGGCGCCGACTCGTTCTCCATCACTTGTGGAAGGTGACAGGTGACCACAAATGGTGGAAAACCGGCGCTGCGCCAAACCCAGCTCCCTGAAACGCCCCAGCGTTCGTAGCGGATAAGACTTTATATCTTTCTGGTCGACTGCGCCGATTTGAAGAACAGGACAATTAGCGATTTTGCCGTATCTAATCCCTATCGCGACAGCGCGACATTCTTCGATTCTTGAAGGCCCAAAGTGTAAACACTGCTCTATACCGTGCGCCTCTTCCTGAGCGGTGAGAGGGCGCAAACATGTAGACATGACGTAACACAGTGACACTCCACAGGGTACCCCCCCAACCACCTTTAACCGATTCAATGTGCAAGCATATAGGTAATTATAAGGGGGAATTTGCTAGTAATCCGCGAAGGAAAAGAGGAAAGGCTTACTTGTTTGGAGGTGAGTCGCCAAGACCTTCATCACGCTGGTTTGAAGGAATTTGTTGACCGCAAGACATTGAACCAAAGCCAGAAGACCAAAGTGAAGCCCCCGATAGAACGGATGAGCGATTAGAGAACAGATCTGGAAACACACTTCTTATACCGCACACATTTTTCTTGATCGTATTGCTCTAACAAAAACCGGTGACGACAGCAACATCCCCTAAAGTACTCGTAAAAGCCGATAATGAAAGAACTCGCCAGAAGTTTCGTTGAGTCCAAGTCCCGTGTAAAGATTATTCGACCACGGTTGGAATGCATTCGATGTCGTACTGGAGGATGATGAACCGAAAAACGATGGAGAAACAGCTGGCGGTGAACCTCCAGCAGAATATGACGACTGTTTCGTAGTTGTTTGCGGGTAACTTCTCAACTAAACACACCAGAACTAAGAAATTATGGAAACATGGTTCATCTTTGAGCGCAATTCGACTCAGGAGGAGCATTCTGCACTTTTGCTAGTTCCTGTCGAACCAAACGTCTCACCTTAGTAAGACTTGTGGAATCTTGACAAGTGTAAACGAAGCTCATGTTATTAAACGGCTTAACACGAATTCACAGGTCTCCACAGGAAACTTCAGCAGTGATCGACGGGAACAAACAGAATGCCCCCACCAAACCGAACTGCGCTAAAAAACAGCAAATAGTTACATACCAATCCAGTTAGTCCGTTATATCCATTTCTATCCAGTGGCCGAGGATATTCC